AAGGTCTGTTTCTCCAGTTTTTAGGACTAGCCTTGAAGGCAGTTAATTCTCATGTCTTGCTAGAAGCCTGTTGATAAAATCATAGTTTGGCTGTGTGCTGTGAAGACTAAACTTGGGATGAGATAGTTGAATTAATATTGTCTGAATATCTCCATGCCAAGTCCTTGCTGAGCAGCTCATTTAGCTCCTTATATTAATTTGTATGGTATTGCATGGTTAAACTTACAGTGGGACAGCTTAGAGAACAGGTATACCTGATAAATCACGTAGTTCCTATAAAAATGTTCTTCGCAGTCTCTACAGAAGCCCTCTCAAGGCAGAAATCTTTAGAGATTTTATTGGACTTCCCAGTTCATCAGAACCGACATTGTTCTGGGAGGACATAATTACTTGTTTTACCAGAAGGGAACAGGCAAATTGCCACAAAGCTAAGCTGCAACTACTGAACAACTGTTAACTATACACCACCTCTTGAAATGTGGGCAAGATTTCCACTCAGAAGAGCAAACTGATGTTTTAAACTAACTTCTCAGTGCCTTGACACATTCTGCTGCCGCTACTGTTAAGAGAAAAATAAGTAGACCAGATTGGTTATTTATTAATAGTATATTTCAGAAAGTTTGTCTTTATTACAAGGTACCTTTTAAAAAGCGTAAGTTTGTCTTAGCAGCCTGTGGTTCTTCCCTGAAATGCCTTCCTGTTATGCCTGCAGGTCTCTGCCCTGTTGGGCAGACCAGAGCAGTAATATGCGCTGTATTTTCCAGATCCCAGATCAGTGGGATTTCAAGAGGAAAATAATCTGCCTTAAAATGTTTCAGAACATATGTAGATCTCAAGAATCTAAATTATGCCTTATAGATTATATGGATTGCAGTGCAGATTGGTTTGGTCTAGGATAGTTAAGTGTAAGTTAACTTTTGCAACATGTGAGACGGCAAGGACTTCACATACAGTGAACTGTCACCAACAAACCTCTCTCAAAAATAAAAGCAGAAGTCCAGAGCAGAGAAGTCTTATGAACACACTTGACATCCTTGCTGGACATACACATTTTCTTTGTAGAGTTTACACCTGTGTTAGTGATAATGCCAGGAGAGGAACCTACATCCAAAGGCTCCCTTCTCAAGTCATGAGAAACCCCACATATATCCTTCTTTGCCACCTTCCTAACTTCGTCTGCTCTGTGTTGCAGGCTTGGTCCCAGCAAATGCCTGACTGAGGGGACTGCAGCCACGTCTGTGTTGTCTCTGCTTGTGCCAGTTCAGTGTTCATCAGTAAGCAGCAGAATCTGGGTTCTTCTTCATTAAGCTGCCAGAGAAACAGTGCTAGTGTTCCTGGTGCTCAGAAAACTGTCCTTGAAGCATTGCAACACACTGAGGACTTTTAACTGGAACTATATATTTAGTGAAAAATATGGGTTTAGAAATGAGTGCAGAAAAGGACCATTTGGATAGGAAGTGATATTGAGCATAGTATTTAAACCAACAAAAAATCCCGACAAACAAAAATAATGCATGTCTATTGAGCTGAAGGAATTTCAAATGAGAAGTCCTCTTCTGTTCTCATTGCACTAACAGAATGGAAGATGGGATGATTCAAATTATGGAAATGTTTTCTATGAGGCACTCTAAGACTGTTGACCTAACAGATGTGTAAGACAGCTGAGCCTAGATGTGAATAGCTAGGCTTGGTGTTATTCACCTTACACAGAAGGAGAGGAGGGAATAGGTTCTTGCAGTACAGGAACTGATGGATACACTGTGGGTAAAAAAGCAGAAGGTTTTCTTGAGAAAACCTCTCAAGAGGCTCTCAAATAGCACATTTAAAGCACTTTTGATTGCTGTGACTTTTCAGGTGATTGCTCCAAGCTGAGCTCTAGCTCTGAACCACTTGGGAATGAGAACGGGCTGAGAAACATCTTGCACTGTAGTGGGACTGGGAGTGGTGCTTCCTAAGTGTTGGGATGCTTTAGAAAATTAGGAATAGTTTTAAACTGCAGGGTGGAGAAGCGTAGGATTTACACCTCCCCTGCTAATATTTGTTAATGAAAGATTAAAGATCTTAATTAAAGAATTAAAAATTCTATGATGCTGTAAGGTTCACTGGCATGAAGCGTGATGGTTTTCAGTGCCCCATCTATCTTTAAAAAAGCTCCGGGCTACACTGTCATTTGTACCATTTTGGAAGTGGAAGGAAATCTTTAAGGGTCACGGAGATGGTCCATGAGGAATATTCTGTCATAAGGGCTTCCTGGAATGATAAAAATCTCTTAGGACATATTCGCATTACAGCAGCCATTTTCGGTCAGAACGATGACCCTTGCTTGGTACTAGCAGCAGATCCCATGTTTCCATCACACCATAATTTATATTTGTCTGTTGTCTTTACTCTTTGATCCTGCCAAATGGTTATGGAGGTTTTAGACAAAATGGATGTAATAATGAAGAAGGTGCAGATTCTACTCTCTGGACTCATTAAATTACCCATGGGACAGTTGTCCTAGTGCCATGAGTGAGACCACACCTGGAGTAAAGCACAAACAATGGCTAAATAAGGGCTTCAGAGTAATTATTTACATTTACAAATGGAACAGAATTCTGCATTTTGAGGCAAAGTGCAGTCAGATGGCTAACTAGGCAAGGTGGAATCTGCATGACGTGACTATTTTGGGGTTTGTTTTTAACAGTATGTCACAATACTTAGGAGATTTTGATTTTCATTGCTTTGTGAGGAATAATATTGTGATGGAGAATGCTCTCACACAAGCCCAAGGGACGTGATTCTGACCATACAATAAGTCACATAAACTTACAGGGCTGTCAGACTCGTTCACAGGCTCTGAAATAACTTGCTACATGACCATAAAATTTAGTTTCATTTTTTCCTCTGTATATTTTTGTTTTAGGATTGGGTTTTTAATTTTATTTTTTTTTATTAAGCCCTTGCTTCCAGACAGCTCTGTAAATTGTTGATTAGCTATTCTTGTGCTTTTTTTCAATTTGGATTTTCTCTGTATATGGTGGAATGATAAAAGCATCACCTGCAGTAAAATATTAATACAAAATGTGCATTAAAGAAAAATTGCATAGAAAAGTCAGTTGATATCACCATATACACCAGAGTCTCAACTGCATGGGAAGAAACACACTTATGCTGTTAAGTTTAACATATCCTGTGAAATTTACTTTTAGAACTCAATTCCTCTTTGGCTTGAAAACAAATCACTTTGGCCTATTTGACATTTAATGTAATTTTGAAAAGTGGGGTTTAAATAATACCTTTTTAATATATATACATTGACCACAATGATTTTTATTAAGCTTTTAGGAAGCTGAAATTTGAAAAGGGCAAAATAAAAAGCAAATGCCCCGATGCATGTATATGCGTGCTTTTTTTTACATTGGATTTTGGGTATGGTAAAAGTGGACTCTGTTGTTGTTTTCTATGTTTTGCTTGGGTTTTTTTAATGTCCCATCTTTTGGGGGGGTCTATTCAGCTGCTTTTGGTCTTGAAGACAAAAGCAAATACTGGAAAACGAATGTAACACATGCTAACAGTTGTTATTCACTTTATGCCATGTTTATATCTCTTCTTTTTCTCACCTCACTTGCTAGTAAATGATTCAGATTTAACGTACTAACTCAGATTTAATGGAAAACGCTAAAAAAGCTGCTGGCTCCCTGTGGAATCCACAGTCCTAGAAAGCTTGGCCAGCATCAGCGGGTTTCCTTTCTTGTCGTTTCCCAATCGGAACAGGCAGTTCTTTACAGTCCCGTTATCTTGCTGATGTAACACTAACAATAACAGCGAGACTCTGGAGGAATTTGGGGAGCTTCAGTGTAGAAAAAAATGTTACCAATTGGGAACAAAAAATCTTCGCTTAATCTGGGAAAATCAAGACACACAAAACAGTCGGAGGAGAAGTAAACCCGGAGTCTGCAGTCCGCGTGATTGACTCTGGTTCTGGAGCTGCAATCCATGGGCGATTTTCTGACCTTATTTGTGACAGAACAGTTTGGAATAAAGGGGTTTAGAGAATGTCCTCCTCACCACGATGGGTCTGTTTCTACAAGGATGTTGTGTGGTGTCAGTTCCCAGCTTGCTTTTAAGCATCACATTACAGTTGGCTTCTCAAGCAGTCTGGACTTACTGAGGGTTTGTGTAGACAAGAACTTTTGTAATACTCCTTATTTTTGCATTAACTATTCCATTAATGGTTGTTAGAAGTAGTAGTTCTGGTCAGACCCTGTGTGGCAGTGCTGCAAACCATGGTAGATATTTTGGCCTATACATGAAGGAGCACCCAAAGAGCATCCCAGCAGAGTCACAGAATCCTTGACAAATAACTCCTGTAGCATCAAGTGGAATAAGCACTGCCTCATTTCTTTCATGAGGGACTCTGCTGGCATTTTGTAGATCTTAACATGACATAAAAACACATTTCTATCTCGTTTTGCAAAATGTTTCTCAAGGGATTACAATGACACAGAAAATTGCCACTAGGAACAGTGCCCTACAGTGGAGAAACATGGGATACAGTCGAAGGAGGGGTGTGGTGGCAGAGGTTACCACTTTTGCACACTTGGGATTACATCCTGGCCCATATCCGTATCTTTGTGTTCTCCCTTCAGCTGCAGCACGGTGTTTCCATTAACATAGAGCGATGAGGGCAAAATAAATCACGGTACTGGGCTGTTTCTTTGCTGGTATGCAGCAACATTACAGAAATAAGGCCCATCTTTTGGGCACTTAACTGGATATTAAATTTACAGCTTTTGGGTTGTACTATTTTGGTTGTACCAAATTACTAGGAAATAACTAGGAATTAGTAATGATTCTTTTTATTATCTGAAGTCTTAAAAGTGTCCTAAGACACTTCAGAGTTCTGCCTTTACACAGCACAGTACTTCTAGCAGTCTTGAAGGTTAATTGTCATTTGGGCTTGTTGAAGCTTAATTGACTTCTCTTCTCACAGATATCCACATTTCTAGAAAGCAGAAATGACCATGACTGCCAACAAGAATGCCAGTGTCAACAGCAGAGCTGGAGGGAGTAAAGTGCCTCAGGACACTCTGGATAGGTAAGTGGTGAACTGCAGCCTTTGTAGATTCTGAGAAAGGTTTGCCCGTGTTTGGAACAAAATCTCTGTCTAAAGGTAAGCGACCTCTATTCTGACACAGAGAGAATTTTGATAGTCTGAGAGAAGTTTTTGGTAGGGATTGGAGGAACCAAGGTATGAGAAAAGGTTTGCTTCTGGCATATTTCTGTTGAGCTATTGCTGCTCAATGGCCGGTTATGATGAAAGTGATTGCAAGGAAGGACCTGTGTGGAAGGCATAGTGGAGGCCTCAGGTGGTTTGGACTAAATTTCTCAGCCATAGGACTGCATGTCAAATCTCCATCGCCAATCTCCAGGTCGTATTTTGTATTGGTTTCTGTCACATTTTCTCTGCTGTGCCTGCCTTGACAGGCGGTGGGCAGAGGCTGCCTCCTGTTGCAGGTCAGGCAGCGAGTATGAACGAGCTGAATATAAAGCACAGGGCTCATTGCTTTTGCTTTGCTTATTTGTCCTCCTTTCTGTAGCATTAATTCATTTACAAAGTAGAGGAGATCAACTTAATCATTTACAACTAGGGGAAAACTGTGCCAAGGACACCTTAAGTCCCCAGGCCTGGCAGTCCTGAGGGAATCAGTCTGTTTAGACTAGAACAGAAAAAGAAATGTGCTTGCAAATTTGTGCTCATTTAGCTTTTGCTAAGAAACACTATCCTAATAAAGTTCCAGTCCATCAGGAGGCTGTGATGTGACTGCATGCAATGGTGCTGATACCTGTAAATAACAAATACCTTTCACTCATGCATTAGTACATTGAAATGGCAAGAAGGGCACAGTCTGTCATTGCTCCCTTGTCCTTTAGTTTTCACTAATTAAAGGCAGTGTTTTGAAGACAGTAAGTTTTCTTTGGGCAGCTCTGCTTTGGAGTATTGCTTTGGTATGCAAGTGAACAACTCACCTGCAGCCAACAAGTTCACATATCCATGTCAGAAGGAGCCTTGTTCTCAGCCACAGCCTTTACAAAGTTCAACCTGTGGCCTTCACACAGGATGAGTCCACCAGCTCCTCTCATTCTGGGACTGGTAGTTGCAAAACCCTCGCTTAAATCTGCAGTTCCACTAGGGCAGCCTCGGTATGCTTTGACTGGGAAAGTTTAGACAACCATCAGATTAAAGAGCCTTTATGAATTATCCATTTGAACACAGGAGCAAAGCTCTAGACTTTGGATGTAATCTTAGCGAGGTGAACAGAAAGCCACACAAACTGTCCAGGGTTTTTCTTCACCTGCTATGTCTGGTGACCTAGCTTTCTGTCCTTGCTGTAACACTTTATCCAGCTCTCCAGGGGATTCTTGGAGAGAAGATTGTCCAATTCTGTTTTGAGGGACTGTTCTACACTACCTTACACAATAACATGCCAATGTCTTTATTTTTCTTGTGTTTTGGCTCAAAACAGGACTTTAACCCTGTTGTAAACAGCATAAAGGAGGAATGTGCAAATAACTTGCACTGACTGTATAGAGTCTCTGTACTGCAGTAATGCCCTTATGCTGGGCCTTAGACATAGAAACAAGAAAGCTGCTCTTTGCCTTTCAAAATTCAACATGTAACTCTGTAAGGCATTAAGTAGGGTGCAGTAAAACAGGTCTTTGCCCAGAAAAGAATGTTGTAGAGGAAAAAAGCAATGGAGGTCCTGTTTATTTGTTGGACACTTCGGGGTAGGAGCATGGGTTGTACTAATGTGAATAAAATGCTTCAATCACTTTGGCCAGGCCAGGCAGCATCCGTTCTAGCCATGCTTGACTGAGGTGACCACACCTGAGAAGCAGTACCAGAGTTACTTCTAGCTGACAGCAGTACAGTATGTGCATAGGAGCATTGTACTGGGAGAACTTGGCTGTTTCAAATTCATTAGTAAAGGCTGTGATTCAGGTGAGTTGGTCACAGAATTACTGTTTGCTTTTATCAACTTGAAAATGAAATGTCAGAGGGAAAAAATCCTTGTATTGACAGCTGCCAGGTACAATAACTGGCATAGATGGAGAAGTTCAGACAGAGAAATTGAGGAGAGTTGGCTCGGATCCTAGCAGGGAGTTTTAGGTCGACTTGAATGTGATGGTGAATACTGGCTTGTTTCGGCATACCTGCCATCATATTCTGAACTTTTCCATGCACAAACAATGGAAAAGGTAAAATATAAATTAAATGCTGAGATTTTTAAGGATGGAAGCAATGGAAGAGTTTTTTTTAACAGTTCATCACTTTTCTGTTCTTATTTCAAGGATAACTTCTTTTTAATGACACATCTCTGCTCTGTGTTTCAACGCTCTGGGTTTGTTCTCAGTTTTGGTTGTCTTTCCATATTTCATGCACAAGGCCTCTGCATTGCCTGCTGTATCTAATAACTTATTTCTCTCTTTCAGCTCTCTGCCACACCTTCCCTCTTATATTCACATGTCATTGAACCACAATAATCCTAGGCAATTTTCCTGAGTTGGATGAAATGGCCTCATCCTGATTACCAAGTGATAGGATGGCCTACAAAGTAGCGGTGAATTAATAGTCAGGAGCCTTAGGCAGAACCCTGACTCTACTCCTGTCTCTGTCAGTGAGCTCCTTTGTGGCATTGTCACACCCTTCCCACATCTAAATCTTTCATTAGCTTGATTTGCCTTTCTTCCTCCTGGTGCTGTTCTCCTCTCAGTTTTAAATTGGGCAGTTGACTAAAGATACAGATAAGCAGCATCCATTCTGTTGTCTTTCATTAGGCATATTATGCTGTATTGAAACTCAGACATGGATTTGATATCACAGAATCACAGAATCACAGAATATGAGGAGCTGGAAGGGACCTCAAAAGCTCATCAAAAGCTCTGGCACCCTCACAGTGAAAAAGTTTTTCCTCATGTTCAGGTTGAACGTCCTGTGCTCCAGCTTGCACCCATTGCCCCTTGTCCTGGCATTGGACATCACAGAACAGAGCCTGGCTCCTTCCTCCTGACACTTGCCCTTGACAAATTTGTAAACATTAATGAGGTCACCCCTCAGTCTCCTCTGCTCCAAGCTAAAGAGACCCAGCTTCCTCAGCCGCTCCTCACAAGGGAGATGCTCCACTCCCTCCATCATCTTTGTGTCTCTGCTGGACTCTTTCAAGCAGTTCCTGTCCTTCTTGAACTGAGGGCCCAGAACTGAACACAATATTGCAGATGTGGTCTGACCAGGGCAGAGCAGAGGGGAAGGAGAACCTCTCTGCCCTACAACCACCCCTTCTCATCCACCCCAGGATGGCGTTGGCCTTCTTGGCTCAAGGGCACATTGCTGGCTCATGGTCATCCTGCTGTCCACCAACACCCCCAGGTCCTTTCCAGCCACTCATCCTCAAGCCTGTAGCACCCCTGGGGTTATTGCTTCCCAAGTGCAGGACCCGGCACTTGGCCTTGTACACTTCCCAGTTTGTTAATGTGTTTGGCATTTCTTAGTACAAAACAGTAAGAACATAAAATAAAGGGGGAGGGAGGGTAGCTAGAGGAATTTCCAGAGAGATATTAATATGTAGATATTAAAAACAGATCCTTAATGACATCTGGCATTCTCAAGTTGTTTGTCGTCCTTCCCTCAGTGCAGACAGATTGGTGCTGGGAACTTGGATCTGGGCTGCAGCAAACTTTGGACCAACTCTTTTATTTTAAAATATTTTCAGTTCTGAACAGCTTAGAAAGAACTATGGGATGCTAAGTTATTGGATAATAACTATCAAATAAACTGTCTTTCCTTATCACCATCTGTTCTGATTAAAAAAGATTTTCTAAGTATGGACCTGAGGCTAAAGAAAATCTGTGTTACGTTTGCATGACAAAGAGAAGATGAATAGGTTGTCATGCACCAGTTGTCCCTCCATTGTTTTGCTTTATGTGATCTTCTTCACCTGTCTCTGTGAAACCCTGTAAGGGGATGTTATTTGAGTCAACCATGAGGATTCTTCATTTTAGTCAGATTGTAAATCAGCAGAGTAAGTGCTGGCATAATAAAACTTTAAGGCTTGCAGAATTTATTGCAAACATGTTCAAAGAGTCACTTAAACTGAACAGTCATTGCCTCTGTTTAGTATGGGATTTGACTGGAAATTTGGAAATCTGCAAATGTACTTTTGCTATAATTTGTGGGAGCAGAGTTTCAGTAAGTGCTGGTACTGGCATGACACAGGCCTATTAGTCTCCTGGTGGCTAAGACATCCTTTTAGTGTTATTTTCTTGTCACTCTTACTTTTGGTGAGGTTTATTGTTGCAAAACTGTACAGTTGGACTCAATGATCTTCAAGGTCTTTTCCAACCTAAATGATTCCATGATTCTGAGATACAAGGTATGCTTCAGTGATACAGTGTCAACATCGGGTTCAACCTTTTGCGATTTCTTATGGGTCAGAAGCAAAGGTCAGCAAAGTCTACAGAAGTCTTTCTAATTACTTTGGCTGTGAATCAGACCCTTGTAGACCATGGATTTAAATTTTAGTAATAAATATCTTCAGTAGAAAAAAGGTGCCTACAAGTAAACATCTACACAACCACATGCTTTGCAAGCATCAAGATTCTTGCAGTGACTTAAGACGCCCTTGATCGTCATGAGAGTGTGAGTCCACTGGCCTGAGGCACCACAGCCATTTTTCCACCAGAGTTGTGCTAATGACCACTTAGGAAATGAGGGAGAGACAGAAAGCAGCGTGGGGACATTATTTGGGAGGATAACCATGAATCTCACCTGAGAAACTGGTTGTGGGATTCACAGGTTTCTGCTGTGAGCACAGGAGAGGAAAACCTTTGGATGTGAAGAAAGTGAAGCGATTTAAATAAACATCCACGCTAATGCATTCTTTCTGAAGGTACCTGAAGTTCATTGACCACTTGTTACAACTGGAGATTTTTGTGTGTCTTAGGTGAGACAAACTTGATTGTGCTCTGAATAGGAAAATTGCAGAAGGATGAGAAGGGTGGTCAAAGATACGGAACATCTTAACTACAAGGCAAGAATAG